GCCTTCTCTGACCATGTGAGCCAAGCCTTAAACCTGCTGCTGGGCTCTGCACATGGTGCTGGCTGCCTCAAATCTGCAGGCAGTGGCCTGGAACCCTTTCTCTGTATGTTGAGGCCTGCCTGAGAGACTGCAGGACTAGGAAGCCATGTCTGGCTCCATGTTTGTATGTTTGAAACTTTTTTAAAAACGCTTTCTCAGGTCCTATATGGAAATACAGGCTCCCACGTTGGATACCATATATAATGAGTCTTTTTTTGTCCTGCCAGCCAGTTCCCAAACACTGACACAGAGACATCTTATTAATTATGAAAACTTGGCCTATAGCTTAGGCTTGTTCCTAACCAGATCTTACAGCTTAAATTAACGAATTTATACTAGTCTACGTTCTGTCCCATGGCGTTACCTCTCCTCCATCTTGCATCTCCTGCTTTCTCATGTCGCCTGGCAGGTCCTGCATGCCTCTATTCCTCCTCCTCCTCTCTCTCTCTTCCCTGAAATCCTGCCTATACCGCTTGCCTAGCTATTTGCCATTCATCCTTTTATTATAACAACACAACAATACATCTTCACACAGCTCACAATATTCCACAACATTCCACTTTGTATACATGTGAGAAGAACCACAGGACTTCATGCATGATGGACACACACTACTAACAGAACTACATGCCTAGTTCAACCTTGAGCTTCTGGTCCAACAGCCTCCATTTCTTTGTTTTGGGGTTACCGGGGTGCACAACAATGCCTGTTTACACTTATTTATTTACTTGCTTCACACATGTGCATACCTTTCATCTTACAGGTCTTAGTTTTTTTCATTGAAATGATTAAACATTAACAAATGTAAGATGAGAGCCTGTAGGTTTAAGATGTCTTTATTCAGATAAATACCAGCCAAACGCAAGCCAGAGTGTGCCCAGGGCAGCCAAGCAGCAGGGCCAGAGAGAAGGGGCCTCCCATGTGCTCTCAGCCCCTTAAGAGACCATCCAGCATCATCCTGACCTCACCTTGCCCACGCCTTGATAGGCGTGGTCAGGCACACCTGTAGCCAGCCTCTAGCAGGCGTGGCTTACTGTCCCCTACACAAATGCTTAGAAGAAATACTAGAGAACTCTTCTGCATTTTGTCAGTTTTCTCTTAACTGCAACATTTTACAAAGCTGTAATTGACATGATTTTAATTTACTAATTTTATAAATTGCCACGGATGTACTCGTATTGGTGTCTGTGTACTAAGATCTATAGGACGCTATCCAGTGCAGGTTCACATAGCCACCAGCAAAGTCAACTTTCTGGCCAACATCTCCAAGAACCTTGGTGCTGGTCTCCTGTGCCTCCCTCTCCAGTTCCTACTAACCTGCCTTTACTTCTTTTGATTTGGGTTTTTGTTGTTGTTGTTTTGTTTCTCCAGACAGGGTTTCTCTATGTAGCCTTGGCTGTCCTGGAACTCACTCCATAAACTAGGGTGGCCTTAAACTCGCAGATAATCTGCCTGCTGCTGCCTTTTGAGTGCTGGGATTAAAGGTGTGTGCCACCACTCGCAGCTGCCTTCACTTCTAAAATTCTGTCACTTGAAAATGTTGGGCCAAGTGTGCTGATTAACACTTAGAATTCTGATACTAAGAAAACAGAAGGCAGGAAGCCTTTGAATTGCAGACCAGCTAGGCCTACACTGGTAGACTTTGTCTCAAAAAAAAAAAAATTAGCCAGGCATTGTGGCCCACCTCTATGATCCCAGCACTTGTGAGGATGAGGTAGGAAGATGGCTACAAGTTTGAGGCTACCTAAGCCACACAGTGAGCCCAGGACAGTCTGGGCTGCACTGTGAAATCCTGTCTCGACCAATCAGTGACTTAAAGGGAAAACCTGCCATGGAAGTGTCATAATCCAGTATGCAACCTTGGAGGTTGGTTTTCTGGCTCAGTGTAATTTCCTGGAGAGTCATCCAAGTAGTTGTGGCTATAAATAGCTATTTTTTTTTCATTACTAAGTAGCGTTCTATGTTTTGTATGTATTGGATTGTTTGAGCATTCGCTTTATTAAAGGGTATCTAAGCTGATTCCAATTTTGGTTCTTATAAATAAAGCTGCTATGAACATTTGTGCAAATCCTAGAGTGAACATAAGTTTTCTTTGCTCTGGGATAAATGCCCAGAAGCTCAGTTGCTAGATCATATGGTAGTTGCATGTTTGGTTTTTAAAAGAAACTGTCAAGCTGTTTTCCATCGTAGCCTTGCCATTTTACATTCCCACAGTCAGTGCATGAATGGTCCAATTTCCCTGCTTTTTCACTAACACTTGGCATTGCCTCTATTTTTAGTTTTAGCCAGTCTGATACATGGGTAATAAGATTTCACTGTGATTTTGATCTGCATTTCTCCAGTGTTTAATGATATTAAGCATCTTTTCATGTTATTTGTCATCTGAATATTCATTTTTTTGTGAAACATCTTTGCTATTTGTCCATTTCTTATTGGGTTGTTTGTTATTTTACTATTGCAATGGTATCATTATTTATTCTAGATTCTAGTCTTTGCTGAATTTGTGGTTTGCAAGTATATTTTCCCCCAGTCTGTAGCTTGCTTTTCATCCTCCTCTTATGGATTTTCATAGGAAAAATCTTTTGGGATACAGGGACTCCCTGTGTAGCCCAGACTGGCAGTGAACCGATGACAAACCTCCCACCTCAACCTCCTAACTGCTGGAATTAGAACCATGGCAGTCATGCCTGGCACCTTTTTAAAAAAGATTTGTTTATTTTATGTGTGTACGTGTGTGCCTGAATTATTTTATGTGCACATAGTGTGTACAGGTTCTAGAAGAGGCCAAAGGGTGTTCTTCCCTGGACCTGGAATTACAGGTGGTTGTGAGCCACCTCATAAGGATGTGGCAGCTGAACCCGAATTCTCTACAAGAGCAGAAAGGACACTTAACTGCTGAGACAGCTCTGTAGTCCCCAAGAACAGAAATATTTCAAGTCTGATAAGGTCTAGTTGGTTGGTTAGTTGGTTGGTTGGTTGGTTGGTTGGTTTTGGTTTTTCAAGACAGGGTTTCTCTGTGCCTGGCTGTCTTGGAACTTACACTATAGACCAGGCTGGCTTCAAACTCAGAGATCCACCTGCCTCTGCCTCCCAAGTTTTGGGATTAAAGGCGTGTGCCACCACCTCCCAAATGCTGGGATTACAGTGTGGCTCAGACCTGGCTCACTTTCTCTTTTGGCTTTGATTAGGTGCCGAGTCTAAACCCTTTGCCTGCTCTAGATTCTGAAGAGTTTCTCCTAATTTTTTTCTTGTAAATAGCCTTGTTTTTTGGTTGGTCAATTATTAGTTGATTTTAATGCGCGCATGTGCACGTGCTGCAAATGTGCGGAACCCAGGGCCTTAAACATGCAAACCCCACTCTCTACCGCTGAACTAAACCCCCAGTTCCAAGAGCTCTGGGAGTTTAGTGTCGATTGTGTCACCTTCTTTATGAGAAACACCGGCCGATTTCCTGTCTTCATTGAGTTGTCATGCTGTTTGAAGATTGCTTCCAGATACATAATAGCTAAGGTACGAAGTACCAAAAGGGTAGACAGAGTGTTATACCACAGACTTTATTTTAACAGAATCATCAATCTTTGATGGAGTTAGTTTTGTTTGGTTTTTCGAGATGAAATTAGCTGCCCCCCCCTTCTTCTCTTCCTTTTTCTGGTTCTGGGGATACAAATTCAGAGTCTAAAACCAGCTGGGCTAGCACTCTACCACTGAGACATCCCAAATTTTGCATTTTACCTGAGTTTGTTGCCAGCTATTGCTAATACCACCACCCCATCCATGCAGATCTGGCCAGATCAGGTCTAAGAGGAAATCACTGGTATGTTTAGAGAGAAGACTAGGATGGTAGAAGTAAAGTCAGAGGGAAGGGTCTGTGTCATATGGCTCTCATGAACCACCATTATGATTTTGATTGTTACAAACATGAAAACTTTTTGCAGATTTTTGGCAAACAAGATATGACCTGGTTAATGTAATTAAGGAATTTCTGGCTACTGAGAAGACAACAGACTGGGAGTGGGGATCTCGACAGCATGGGCATAGGTGGAAAGCTCTTGCAATACTTCAGACAAGAGGTGACAGTAGTTTTGACCAGGATTTACCAGGTGCAGCCTTCCAGCATCTGGGAGGCTGAAGCAGAGGATCTTCAAGTCCAACCTGGCATATGTAGTGAATTCCAATTCAGCTTGGGCTACCCTAACAAGACTGTGTTCAAAACAACAAACAGGGGATGGAAAGTGGCTCGGTGGTTAAGAGCACCGGTTGCTCTTCCAGAGGTCCTGAGTTCAATTCCCAGCACCCACATGGTGGCTCAAGGACATCCGTGATAGATGATGCCCTCTGCTAGTGTGCAGTTACACATGCTGAGCACTCATACATAAAATATAAATAAATAAAAATTTTAAAAATTGACAACAACAAACAAGAATTCAAAGACTGAAATATTTGGATCTAGCTGTCAGGTGCCAAGGTCTGAGCTGTAGGCAAAATGTAGGGTTCTGTGGTGATTCATACATACGTCAGGGATGTGTTTGGAGATGCCTGCCATGCCTTGACATGAAGATGTGGAGTAGGCAAGTTGGCCATTGAGCCTGGGATCCAGCAGACACCCTCAAATGGAGAAAGACCTTCATTTCCAGATGCCATTTAGGGCTCAGAGCATGGCTATGCTGTTAGGGAGAAGACTGAAGCCTAATCCTCCGTAATTTAGATTTAAAGCCCTCCACTGATGACAGATGTCCGGACTGACATCCCAGTGGTCCTAAAGCTTCTATGTAGGGCAAGGTCAGGACAGGAGACACACCAGGAGTGAGGTATTGCTTTCATTCCTCTCCACCCTTTCCGGGTGTTAGCCCTTCAGCAATTTAGAAGTGGCTCCTGCAGCTTCCCCAGTTATGGGCCCTGAGGCGGTATGCAGGAGCAGATAAGTACTGGCCCCACTTACCTTCCTTCTCATCTCTTTCAAGGAGCCAGTAAGACAACACTTCTTCTCCAAGCACGACAACCGAACTTCCTTCGACAAAGTGAGTGCTGGAAAGAGGAAGGGGGAGGAGCCCCTGGCTGGAGGGAAGACATAAAACCTTTAGGGGGGGAGCAAAGGTTTCTTATATTTTTGGATGTGAGCCTAGCTTTTAACGGCTGAGCCATCCCTCCACCTCACAAAGGTTTCTTAAATAGTCAGAGGAGCATCTATTTTCCCTAACCTTTCCCGCTGCTAAATAGCCCATCCCCCAGACAAAGGCAATTCTGCCTTGGTTTTCTTGGCTAGTTTGCCCAAGAGTGTACAAATATCCCCGGGGGCCACTCGGAGGTTCATGCTAAAATGGGTGACATTACTGAGACTGCAGGGTACAGGCTAGGGAGGCCAGGCACAATTCCAGTGTCACCATCCTGGGATTAGATGGGGCCCAAGCAAACCCTGGATGCCAAGACTGTGGGCCAAGGGCCCGTACCGTTGAGGAGGGCCCCTACTGGCTGCTGCAGGGAATTGGAAGACGCAAAGACCTGGAGCGCCTGTGGAAAAGACACACCTTCCTGCGCTGGGCACCCTGCGAGCTGGAATTGAGCCAGCAGCCGCCACTGGAATCTTCCTACCAGACTGATTTCGGGTCAGGCTCAGGACTCAGCAGGCTCCCCCAGCGCCTTGTTCACTTTATGCAGATCCAGCCTCCCTATGTCAGCACCACCTACCAGCACAACTTCTGCCACCCATCCCGGGGCGGCCACTGTGGTAGCGCCAAGGTAAGGCCCCAAGAGCCAGCCACTGAAATCCGGCCTGACCGCCCTGGGATCCCGAGACCCAAGTTACTGCAGCACTATCTTCACGATGGAGTTTCTGAGTGTTTAAACTGGTCCCAAGCATTAAACAGGTTATGCTGACATAACCTATCTGTATTGACAGCCCAAGATGTCTCAGGGGCCTGTGATCAGCAGCTCACTACCAGGTTCTGGGTCTGGCTCCCATGGCATTTGAGCCAATGTTTGTGTACTGGGCTGGGGAGAAGTGGTCCAGGGAGCCCTGCCACTAAGTGAAAAAGGACAGGGCCTGCCACAGACTCAGAATCCAGGGTGGTGACCTCGACCATGGGTGCATTCTAGGGCCCCAAGTGCTTCTCAATAACTGTAGCCTCTTGCACTCAGTGTAGCCACAGGAACACAGAACCTGAGGGCCCTCCTAGAGAGCAGCCAAGGCTGAGGGAGGGAGCTTCAAGGGCTGGCAGCTCCCTCCAGGAGTCAGGTGCCTTGAAGGGTTTGACAGTTCAGTCCTGTCTCAGAGATGCCTCCCACAAGGAGACTGCCCCAACCACCACACCACTGAGCCACTGCTCCCTTGGTGGTTGTGCAGAACCTTTGAGGAGACACTGTGTGACTTGGATCTGAGGTCATCCTAACCTTGTGAAATTATATTGTTTTTGGAAGGTCTTCTCTGGTCATCCTACCAAGTCTCCTGACACTCAGGTAACTTTATGTTACCAAAGACAAAGCCAAGGCTTAGGCAAAGTCACTTTAGTGACCCAGATCACTTTAGGTGTGGTTATGAGACTCAAGAGGCTTCCTGTGGATTCTCATCCCTGGGAGAGTTGAGGCCTCCCAAGGAGGGCAGGGCAGGAAGAACAGCATGAGAGTCAGCACCACAAGCCACATGCCAGATGTCATCAAGATTTTTATTTCTACATCAAAACTCCCTGGGTCCTCACTACAGCCCTGTGAGGTAGGTGGGGCGGGAAAGTTTCAGAGATCCCCATTTACAAATGAGGATGCTGAGGCACAGAGAGGTGGGACGTCCTGCCCCAGGTCATACAGCCATCAGTATGGAGGGCACAGAGTCAGCAGTCCTCTGGCCCTCCCTCAGGCGGTCCCCATATTCTCTCCACTGCTTCTATGATCTCCAGCCTCAGAAGACTCCTTGGGTCCATAGGGACCCTCAGAGAAGGCTGGAAGCTCAGACTTTTCCAGAATGGCCCTGGAGAAGGCCTGGTCAACTCTTGGGCCTATCCTGTGAGGCCAATGCTCTCCTTGTCACACTTCCAAGTTGACAGAGGGCCTAGTAAGTGTTAGGCATGGGTGGAGCCAGCTATGGTTGTGAGTGGACGGTGGTAAAAAATAGGTGTGACATGTGTGTCCTGTGCTAAAGACAAAGGCTCCTCCAACCCCTGTCCCTAAGCTGGTAACTCAGATGCCCTCTCCCATGGCTCCCTCATGGGGAGCACCCTCAGCAGCAAAAAGGAGCCCAGTCTGCTTCTATACTGAGCTGCTCTGCAGACAAGGTCTCACTAGGCCTTCAGACCCCATCACGCAGACACAGTGCCTCCACAGCTTGACTGGGGCCCTGGGCCACACCCCCAATAACAAACAGCCGGGGCCCAGCCTGTAGACTGGAACAGGAGCATCGGGCTGTAGGCATGGCAGGCAGTGCCTCCCAGCGTCGCCGTGCAAGACTGAAGCTCTCCACGGAGGCCAGAGGGCATGGCTGGTTCCCTGGAGGAAGGAGATACAGGGTGATGAGGGGATGAAGACCCTTTTGCTCCCTCTCCCAATGGCCCAGTAAGTACTACCCCAGCATGAGCTACTAATGCTTTGCTCTTCGTTGCCCAGTTCATCTTTGCTCGCTTTTTCTTTCTTTCTTTCTTTCTTTATTTCTTTCTTTCTTTCTTTCTTTCTTTCTTTCTTTCTTTCTTTGATCATCTTTCTGCTTCTATTAGAGACCCCAGCCAGGTGCCAAGGGACACCCCGAGAGTCAGGACAATCACAAGCACCTTGATTGACAGATATGCCAAGTGCTCACAGAGCTCTGACCCCAGAGTCTAGAGAAGGTGGCCCTGCTGGATGTTCTTTTCTGCTGTGTATATCTTCTTTTCCTCAGCCCCACAGAGACTTACCAAGGCCTCCAATGGCCACAATGTTGCCCCCAAGAGAGCCCACCACAAAGTCAGCCCTCTTATCCCTCATTCGCAGGCTACGAGGCAGCTTGGTCCAGGACCCTGAGGGAGAGAAGACATAAGATGTATGAACACAGACATACACAGACCTGAAGGAGAGATATAAGATGTACACATACAGACATAAACAGACTCGAGGACACATGCAAACACATGCACAGGAGTGCGAGTTCACGCATGCACGCGCACGCGCAGACACACACACACACACACACACACACACACACACACACACACACGCACGCACAAATGCTGCCCTTGTGTCCCATGGGGAGCAGGACAGACTAGAAGAGGCATTTCTCACCATGCTCCAGATCAAACATCTCCACAGTGTTGACGAAGTGTGGACGGGAGTAGAAATTGTGGGGCCCAGGCTGTTGCAGGCCACCCAGGCTAAAGACACTGCCTTCAGCCATAGCACAGCCAGCAAAGGCTCGGCGGCTGGGCAGGCTTGGGTGTCGGGTCCATGTACGGGTCTCCAGATCAAAAGCTTCAAAAGCAGTCACTGGGAGCTTGCCTTGGCGGCCTCCTGTCAAAGGAATTAAAGCACCTGGGACAGAGCCCAGAGGGTTTGGTGGCATCCTTACCTGGTGGCTACTACACCCAGCTGTGTAGACACCTGACTATGGGTCATTCATAAGACCACATAAACCCTCAGGCACTGAATTTGATTTTCCAATCCCACTTGGGCCACCAAGGAGGCCTTAGAATAGGTCTGGATAACCCCCAACAAAACTTCTAAAATCCTGACATCTCAGACGAAGAATGATCCCAAATCCAGACAACCTACAAGGGATGGAGTCCTCTGGACTCGTTTCTTCCCCTTCCCCACATCCCTCAGCCCTTACCCAGGACATAGATCTTGTTCCCGTGCAGGAAGGTGGAGGCCCCGTAGCAGGGTGTGGGCATGGAGGGTAGTGAAAGCCAGCAGTCCCGGCGGGGCTCATATACCCGAACCTGGGCCTGGGGGGCCGTGTCAGGACCCATTCCCCCCAGAGCATACACCATACCATCTGCACAGAAGAGAGTAGTTCAGACCACACAACCATGTCTAGGTGGTGAACCCCACCCTGACAGCTCCCTAGGTCAGGCCCAGGGGTGGATGGAGGGAGACCCATGTCTTTGTCAAAAACTTTGTTGTCCATCTCAAGTGGGAGCTAGGAGAGCTGAGATTCCAGCTTTGGCCTAGGCCCCTCCAAGTGAAGAGCAGGAGGCAGCCTATCTAATTATAATCCAGCACGGTCTCCCTGGAGACGCTATGGCAACCAAATCTGGCATCTAAGCAGGCTAGCCTAGACTGGTGGTCAGACCTGGAGGCCACAAGGTGTGTGTGTGTGTGTGTGTGGGTGTGTGTGTGTGTAGGGGGAGGGCTCCCCTAATGGGGGGGAGGGGTAGATTAAGACAGTGGTAGAGGGGATAAGGAGATTTGCTCAGTCTGAGAAGGAACCCGGGGTATCCACTAGGCGAAGGAAGGCCCAGGCTGGGAGTTGAGCTTGGGCCTGCAGGACAGAGCCTCGAGCCCCTGTCAGCCCCACTGCACCATGCCGGTTTCACTAGGGTAGGTTCTTGCCTTCCATTAGGTTCTCAGAGTCAGCTAGGGGCACATTGACAGGCCTTTGGGTGGTGTCAGGCAGCTTGGGGCTTCCATGGCAACCACCTCCAGGTCAGCTTGGCCTTTGTCCACATCAGCATCCCTGGTGTGTGTGTGTGTGTGTGTGTGTGTGTGTGTGTGTGGTGGGGGAGGTCTAAGCACTTTAGCACTTGCTGGGCTCAGAGCCAAGGCCTGGCTCCCCTCCCCCACTCCAGACTATTTATAACTATGAGAGTCACTAGGCCACACCCACCACTGTCTCTTAGTAACAAAGACTAGGACAGGGAAGTGGCTGGGGGTCTCCTGTCAGATTTCTGGGGGCCTTCTGGGCTCTGACCCCCAACTCATAGCCCAGAAAAGGTAATTAACAGCAAATTGTAGAGAGCCAAGGTAAGGGAAGAGACAGGAGGCAAAGCCACATCCAAGGCAACACCTATCCAGTGTGTGAGGTAATGGATCCGGTCAGGGGGAGAAACAGTGAAGTCTGTAGGAGCACCTGAGGCGTGTTCCTTGATAAGCCACTCACCTCTCTCCACAGTCGCAACCCCCATGGCTGCTTGAGGGAGGGTAGCCCGACGCTCCCAGCGGCCTTCGTCAGCCAAGAAGGCCTCCACAGCAGCTACTGGGCTCTGGGCCTCATCCACGCCACCCACAACTAGCACCTGCTTACCCAGAACCACAGCAGCCGCACCAGCCCGGGCAGTGGGCAGGGGTGCTAAGGCTAGCCACGTGTGTGAGGACATGTCCAGGGTCTCCGCTGTGTCCAGGGGTAACCCAGCCCGGCCACAGCCCCCCAACACCAACAGGTGCCCATCTTGGTGTGCCACTGTGCCATATACCCGGCAAGTGGGCATGGGGGGGAACACCTGCCAAGCAAAGGCCCGGCCACCTCCTGCAGCCATGTTGCTCACTGCCAGTGGCAGGCCATGCTGTCTGCTTAGGCTGTGGGCCTCACTGGGGAGACACGATAGGGCCTCATCCTGATTCTGCCAGGGCTGTAAGCGTGTGTCTGACCAGTCCAAGGGACCTTGCCTTCACCTGAGGAGAAATGGACAACAAAGAATCAGGGCCACTGTCAAGAAACAGATGAATAACACCTAGCTAAAGGCAGGCCAGGCCCCAAATCACTGGTGGGGACGGACCCGCCCCCTTTGACTAGCACTCTACTGGTGAAGATCCTCTGTAGTGCGGAAGGAGAATAGACTCCAGATACCCAGACAGCTTTCTCATTTCCCATAGGGGCATGAGGGACTCTCCCCACACCCAATCACAAAAATTAGCAACTAGCAACTAGCTTAGAGTGGAAGGGAAGGTAAAGTGACTAGGCCCGACTGACTCTCCATCCCAGTGCACTTCCTTGCCAGCATGGCTTATCCTGGTGCTCCTGAATCCTCTGTACACTGGCATCTAGTGTCCCTCAGACAACCGTTAGGGTCCCTCACCTGCAATCCTTACACAAGGAATGTCCTATTCTACAAAGTGCAACAACCATTTACAGCAGCAAACAGCCAGTCTTAGCTGTGAAGGATTCAAAGGGGACAGACCTCAGGGTTCCGCACTCCCTTTGAAGTCCATCCTCAGGGGAGTGGCAATGCCAGCAGATTCCTTGATGAGGAGGGCTGAGGGGACTGGTTTGGGCAGTCTCATGAGTGCAGGATTTGAAGGTACCTGAGTCCAGGGCTTTTCATGTAGGAATAAACAGCTAGATCCTGAGCCCCCTAAGGTCACATTCCTTAAGCCTTACCTTTTGCTCCGTGTGTGTGTGTGTGTGTGTGTGTGTGTGTGTGTGTGTGTGTGTCTGTCTGTCTGTCTGTCTGTCTGTCTGTCTGTCTGTGCTGGGGGAGGGGGTCTCCACTCTCAGTCCCGCGATTTGGCAGGACGGCCTCCGGGCCCCAAACTTCCAACTCAAAGGAGAGTGGGGGGCGGGTCTGGCTAGTGGGCTTAATAAAGGCTGTAAACCTCATGCCCCAAACTCCCCCCCCCCCCCCCCCCAGCGAGGCTCCCGCGGGACTCACCCGCTGGATCTCTGATGTCGCCAGGACACGGGGTCCGCTGTTCCGCCTCCGCTGACGCTGGCTCTGGCTAGGGCTGAAGCTGGGCTCTGATGGGGCTCCCGCACCGCTCCGGCGTGGGGCGGGGCTGGTCCGGGTCCGCCCCTCGCTCCCCCCTCCCCAGATTCGGGGAAACCTCCTCCCGCCTTAACTCTGCACATGCCACGGCAGGAGTCGGGCACATCGACCCACGGTCATCCAAAATGAACAGGCAGGCATATGGACATCCGGCCGGCTAGGATTTAGGGTTCTACCTGGGGCGATGATAGAAATGAGGCAGTGGCGATCAACACAGCACCGGTATGATGAGATCGGAGGTGGGTGTCGTTTTGTGTTAGATCCACTCTGGGTGCATTCAGCAGGAGATAGCCAGTGGAACCTGGGGCCTTAAGGGGTCGGAGCCCGCCCATCACAACTGAGCTTGGAGGTGCCCAACCACCAGCTTTTCAGCGGCGCCCCCTGGAGGCCACTGGGGCTGTAGCCTGGGCCTCTGGTTGGGGAGCCCAGCTGGCCTGTCTTAACCAGGACACAGCCATGACATAAAGCCAGCTGCAGAATAGATCCTGAGACTACTAGCAGGTGGGGTGGAGGAGACTATTGTACAGCCTTAGGACCTATCCGGCCCTTCTTTACAGAGAGCTACGTTATTCTTGGTTAGATCTCAGCAGGTGAGCTAAACCAGCCAGAGGCCATGGTCTCTCTGCCTAATCCTATATATCCTGACTGGGACTAATCTGAGGCCTGGTGACTATCCATCTTCAGGGTACAGAGTTGGCTAGGTCATGATAGCAAATTGATGTGACAAAGACGCACCTACCTCCGACTCAAACCTTGGCCCATCCTATCTTATGAGCATTCAGAACCCTGGGGAACACTCCTTGCAGTTGTCTGTGCCTTCTCGGTGCTTCGCCCCCCTTTATTGTACAGTGTTTATCTTAATTTTCCAAAAGAAGATCTCGAAACAATGACACAAGTGCTTGTAAGTTAGTGTGGGAGGTGGAGCCAGGAAGCCCCAGCAGAGGAGTAGCAAGAAACACCAAGAAAAGCAGCCAGTAAAGGAGGTGTTACCAGACACTGGGACCAAATCCTTCTGGGGATCTGGGACCTCACATTGTTAACTGCTCACAAGGGCAAGGGGAAGGAAGGAACTCATCTTCATCTTCACTTTCCATCAATTATATGTGGAGAGCTGTTTGGGAGCATTAATGCCTTCGCCTGCCCGACTTTTTGCCTGCCCAGAACGTGGGTGAGCCCTTCCTTGGGACTGACTAGAGCCTATAGCTCTTTCAGAAGTTGGTACTTTGAGGTGGAGGGCGTTCACACAAATGCCAGAGCAAAGACTGGTTACACATTGCGCAGACTCTGAAGGCCTCTGTCTCCTATGCCACTTCTTCCATTCCCCGGATTGTCCCTCTCTCGGGACACCGGTATCTACCCCACAGGGTACTCAGTACCACACCTGTATCCTCATATTCACCAATGTCCTCTTTCTTTCTAAGCCCCTTCCATTTTCTTTCCAGCTGTTAACCATTTACAAGCTGGCTGCTTTTAAATGTCTCCCAGCACTAGATCAAGCTCATCTCTTCTTGCCCCCTGAAAATCTTGAAGCCATCTGTCCCCACAGACTCCATCACCTTGTTATCTATCTGCCACCTCATCTATTGCCACTTATTCCTCCAAATTGCTTTCCAAACAATTGGTTTGGTTTGGGGGGCTCAGTGGCTTAGAGCAGTGGCTGCTCTTCCAGAGGACCTAGGTTCAATTCCCAGCACCCACATGGCAGCTCACAACTCTCTGTAACTCCAGTTCCAGAGGGTCAGACACACTCACATAGACAAACATGCAGGCAATACATCAATGCACACAAAATAAAAATAATTTTTTGTTTGTTTTTGTTTTTTGAGATCGGGTTTCTCTGTATAGCTTTGAAGCCTATCCTGGCACTTGCTCTGTAGACCAGGCTGGCGTCGAACTCAAAGAGATCTGCCTGCCTGTGCCTCTTGAGTACTGGGCTTAAAGGCATGTGCCACCAACATCTGGCCAATAAAAATAAATTTAAAAAAAAATTTGTTGCTTTGAGAGTCTCCCATAGCTCAGGCGGGTCTTGAACTTACTACATAGCCAAGGATGACATTGAATTTCTGACTCTTTTATGTCTTCCTCGAAAATGCTTGGAATTCAGGCATACTACCTTGCCCGGTTTGTACAGTGATGAGGAGTGAACCCATACTTTCTGCATGCTAAACAAGTACTCTTACCAATTGAGCTGTATCTCCCACCCCCAAAATTGCTTTTGAAAAGCCACCATGTGTATTACCCAAGATTCCCTAGGGGAACAAAACCAATAGAATGAATAAGTACTACAAGGGGATTTAGGTGGAGGCAGAAGCAGGGGGATCTCTGTGAGTTTGATGCCAGCCTGGTTTGCAGAGTGAGTTCCAGGACAGCCAGGGCTACACAGAGAAACCCACTCTCCATAACAAACAAAAACAAGAAATTTAGACAACACATGATTCAGAGGGTAAGAGCACTGGCTGCTCTTTCAGAGGGCCTGGGTTTAGTTCTCAACACCCATATAGCAGTTCACAACTGTCTGTAATGATGTGATACTCTCTACGGACCTCTGCAAGTACCAGGCACGCATATGGTACACATGCATACATACAGGCAAAACACTCATACACCTATGTAGGGGAAGCTGTAGCCACGCCTACTTAGGGGCTGGCTACAGGTGTGCCTGACACGCAAGACTGGTATGAGACTGCGGGCTCTCTTTCAGTTGCTCTTTTGAGCTTGCATACAGACCGCTGCCACGCCAGCTGGCTAGGTCACTCTGTAAGTAAGGCTTTTCCCTATTAAATACCCTTATATTTCTACCTGACTCCGTATTGGTAATTTCCCACTATATCTGGTGGCAGGATCGGGATATTTAAATCTACACCCCATTTGGGACAGGCTGTGGGTTCCACCGGGCCTGCGGCCTAGGCCCGGAAAGCGCCCTCGCTCCACAGGTGCTCTCGGCTAGCAGCCAACCGCTGCATCTGAGGATTTCAAGCGATATCTTCTATCAAGAGAATCCCATCTAACATGGACTGGATACAGGACCCCACATGACTATCATCATGCCATTTCAGCAGGAAGTAACTCGGAGGATGCTACACCCTCTTTCCCCATTGTTGTCACTTAGGATAGTGTATATACCTAGTTAGGGATAGCTTCCTATTGTTTTTTGGTTGGGATTGGAATGAAGTGTTCAGGCTTGGTTACCTCTGTCAGATGACTTTAGGGTTTAGTTAAATAGTTAGGATGTGACATAAGCAGATTGTTGTATCTTCTTATATTTTACCTTTATGATTGTTAATTTTGGATACTTTACACTGTTAAGTTTTAATCCTCTTTTAGACTAAAAGGGGAATTGTAGGGGAAGCTGTAGCCACGCCTACTTAGGGGCTGGCTACAGGTGTGCTGACCACGCTTGCAAGGGCGTGGTCAGGATGACATAGAGCGAGACTGGAATGGGACTTCGGGCTCTCTTTCAGTTGCTCTTTTGGGCTTGCATACAGACCGATGCCACGCCAGCTGGCTAGGTCGCTCTGTAAGTAAGGCTTTTCCCTATTAAATACCCTTATATTTCTACCTGACTCCGTATTGGTAATTTCCCACTATCCACCTAAATCTAAATTAAGGAAAAGGGGATTTATGGGCTGGAGAGATTGCTCAGTGGTTAAGAGCACTGCCTGATCTTCCAAAGGTCCTGAGTTCAATTCTCAACAATCACAGGTGGCTCACAGCCATCTGTAATAAGATCTGGTGCCCTCTTGGCATTCAGGGATACATGCGGACAGAACATTGTATACATAAAAAAATAAATATTAAAAGGATTTACTAGACCTGCTTAAATCACACAGTCTGGACAGTGCAACCGTGGCACCCATTGCAGGCTAAGGACCCAGTGGTGATTTGGTCCTGGAGTCTGGGCACCTCAGCAGTCCCAACCCAGCACAGAGCACTGGAAAATGTCTGGAGAAACCACCAGTTTTCAATCCAGATTAGAGTCCTAAAGAAGGAAGCTGGGCTCTGGTATTAGTGGGCAAATGGCGTGGTAGTGGCGGCAGCAGCACACAGAGGAACAAGACCCGTGAAGACAAGAAGGCAAAAAAAAAAAAAAAATCCAGGTGCTGGAGAGATGGTTCAGAGGTTAAGAGCACTGACTGTTCTTCCAGAGGTCCTGAGTTCAATTCCCAGCAACCACATGGTGGCTCACAACCATCTGTAATGAGATCTGGTGCCCTCTTCTGGTGTGCAGATATACATGGAAGCAGAATGTTGTATACATAATAAATAAATAAAATCTTCAAAAAAAATTATTTCTGCCAAACCTCCTTTATAGGATGCTACTAGTATGTGCTGTCCACAATTAGAATGTGTTTTTTCATGCTGGGCAGTGGTGGCGCATGCCTTTAGTCCCAGAACTTGGAAGGCAGAGGCAGGCGGATCTCTGTGAGTGCAAGACCAGCCTGGTCTACAAGAACTAGTTCCAGGACAGCCTCCAAAGCCACAGGGAACCCTGTCTCTAAAAACCAATAAAAAATAAAGGTTTTTTTTTTCCGTAAGTGTGTCCAGCACTTTTACTTCTTAGTTGGTTTCACTTCCAGTCAAAGGCCAGAGTAGTGGTGTGAGCCTTTAAAACCAGCCCGTAAGAGGCAGAGGCAGGCAGATTTCTGTGAGTTTGAAGACAGCCTGTTTTACAGTGAATTCCAGGAAAGCCAGGACAATATAATGAGTTCTTGTCTCAAAAACAAGAACAAAAACAGGGATGGACTGTGGTAATATCTTTCTTGCACAAATAAAGCCTGTCTGGGGGTCAGAGAATGGAACTGCCACTAGCTAGCCATTGAGATCTGGAGGTCTGTACAGACAGGCAGGAAGTGACATAGTAGGGCAATAACAGTATATAAGCAGGAACAAACAGGAAATTGCTCTCCTCTCTGTAGACACTTAGGAGGTAAGGTGTGCTGTGGCTTGTTTAGTCTCTCTGATCTCTCAACATTTCCCTCTATATCTGACTCCAGCCTTTTATTATCTAGACAGATAGCTCAGTGGTTTAAGAGTTCATCCTGCTCTTGCAAAGGAACTAAGTTTGGTTCCCAGCGTTATCTTTTGCGTCAATTAGAAATAAAAGAAGGGGGGCACAAGATGAGACATATTAGCCAGTTTATTATAGGCCCAGCAGAATGGAGAGACCAAAAGAGAAGAGGGTTAATGGGTGACCGCCGTGACCAGTCGAGAGAGAGAGAGGCAGAGAGAGTGAAGCAGGGAAGTTGGAACTTTTAAAGGGAAGACCGTGCATAGGACCTGAGGTTCCACACATGTCAGAGTCCTCACGCGGGTGATGTGGTCATGGCACATCCCTGTGCGTGCCCCTGTGCGTGCCCCTGTGCGTGCCCCTGTGCGTGCCCCTGTGCGTGCCCCTGTGCGTGCCCCTGTGCGTGCCCCTGTGCGTGCCCCTGTGCGTGCCCCTGTGCGTGCCCCTGTGCGTGCCCCTGTGCGTGCCCCTGTGCGTGCCCCTGTGCGTGCCCCTGTGCGTGCCCCTGTGCGTGCCCCTGTGCGTGCCCCTGTGCGTGCCCCTGTGCGTGCCCCTGTGCGTGCCCCTGTGCGTGCCCCTGTGCGTGCCCCTGTGCGTGCCCCTGTGCGTGCCCCGACTGTTGTCAGGGGGCGGGGTCTGTCTCTTAAAGAGGTAGAGCCCATCAGCATAAAAAGCCTCAACCTTTCATTCCCACCTCTACTTACTATTTTAAAAGGTGGGGTGTTAGACATGGCAGGTTAAGGAATAAGGGTGTCAAATTCTCAAGACTGCTTCCTGCTGACCTGAGGGGCATTGACCATCTTTGGGGGACCTGAGAGGGTTGGGCTGCTGCCATGTCCTGGGGTAGCTGCTGGTTTCATTGCAATCCAGGCTGTATGAAACTCCTTGGTGCCTCTCAGACCTGTTTGTTTGGATCCAATTCGGCTCCCTGGAATTTACAATTATCCTTAGAATTTGTGAAAACAAGTATTAGACACATTAGCAGCATATTCAAGTTAGAAGCAACTTGGCTGAAAGCATTATGACTGTGAACAGTAGCATGAGAAAGAGAGAAATCTGGAACATATTTCATTCCTTTGAATGTAAACTTTAAAATACCTGTTCCCGAAATCTGTTTTGCTTTAAGCTGGCAAGACTACCAGTCATCAAAAGCATCAGAGTTCTTGAGAAGGATAAGATTTTACCTGAATTAAGGATTAAAGAATAGAGACTTTCCAGCAGGCTGCATGGACAGCCACCCCCAAGGTTGAGACTTGCCAGCAGGCTGTATGGACAGCCACCCTCAAGATCCTCCATCCATGTTTGTGGGTGGCAAAACATCTGTCTTCTTGCAAGACATCTGCCTTCTGCTGATAGCATGTGACTTGTGGATTAGGGACTATAGAAAGGCTCTCCTACCATTGACCCAAGCAATGCAGGGAAATTTGATTCCACTGTCCTCTTGTCCTCGGTCTGGAGTACTTTGTAGCAGTTGAGGTGAAGAGCAGGGTTGCTCAGTGACTAGCGTTGCCACTGACTCAAGATGAAATTTCTTTAGTGCCCACCAATCTTCTGGGAGGAAATGGGGTGGAACCAGCAGCTGGCCTGCTCTCTGTCATAAAAAGCTTTTTACTAAAACATTTTAAATTCCATGTTCTCTAGATCTCTGAGCATTTGAGGGCTGTCTGTCTGTTTAGTATCTCAGCAATCAAAAATTTGCCTTTAGTTAGAGAAAAATCCCTTTTTGTA